GTTTTAATTTTATAAATAATATGGTAGAAAATAAGTTTTATTCAACAAAAATCTTTAGAATTTTTTATTTTCATGATTTAATTAGTGATTTTACTAAAAAAAATATTATATATTTCTATATTTTCGTGTAAATATTTTATAAATATTTTTATATTTAAATAATATTTTATTCAAATAAAAATAATTTGCATTAATTATATATACTTATTAATTAAAAAAAAACAATATTATTAGTATAATTTCTTATGTATTATTACTAGAAGATATAAAGTTGGTACTTGAAATGTCACTACAAAATTCGAACATTTTAAAATGTATACATGCATAGTATTCTTAGATGCAATAAATTTGTCGCAATGATGAAACTTCTGACGTTCCATGCTCTTCTAAGAAATTGAATATGTTTTTGACAACTATAAAGCAAAAATATTATAATAATTATATAAATATTATATATATATTATTTAATATAATTTTCATTGCGAGTATACCTTGTTTATCTTCGCTACTCATAAACATATTGATAATTGAAAAACGCTTCATTTGACTGATTGATTTCAAACAATTATTCAAAAGTTCTATATTGTCAGATGTACAAAAATATTGTTCTAAACAATGCAATATAGTACTGAACTTGTTTCCATCTAATTCATTTCCTAAAACTAAAATATTTTTATGACAATAAATTTTATATAGTTGCTAGATTAAAATACAAACCTAAATTTAAATCTACTGATCTTAATAATTGAGCATATACTTCTAGATCAAAATCATTTTTTGATGAATTATTTGTAATCTTTGTAATAGGTTTCTCTTCTTTACTAGTTTTATTTTTATATTTATCTGCCATTTCTATTTTTCTAGGTTTCTCATTTAAATAATATTTTTCGCAATTTTTAGTTAGATTTTTAAGTTTTACTTGTTTATCGGATGATTTATTTTTGTTCTTAATTTTTGTGTTGGATATATTTTTATTCGTTGTTTCCTTCGATTTGATTTCAACATTTATATAATTCTTGTTATTAGATTCATTAGGTAATTCTTCAATAATAACTGAATTAGTTCCTATGGGAGATTTTGTACGAGAAAAAGTTGATTTATGTTTTGTTGTTAAGGGATCAGGATCATTTTTTTCTTGATATAATTTAGACATATTTGAAGAATAATTGTTAGAAGAAACTGGACTTTTGAACAGTTCAGTGCTCACATTAATTACTTTTGGAATATTTTCAGATTTCTTTGAAAGAGTATTTTTAATTATCGTTGTTTCTCTATTATTATTTTCAAGACAATATTCAGCCTTAATATGTGGACTTGGATTTAAATTTCGTGATGGACCTGGTGCTTTATCGCAATAGCATATACTATTTGAGTTAAACTGTGAAACATAATTCTTTTTTTCTTCAAATTCATTTAATTTTGATATTAATTTTTTATTTGTATCTTCAGTTTGTTCTTCTGTGATAGTCATTCTGAAAATGCAAAAGTAAACAATTTAAATATATGTTTAAATATATGTTAAATAATTATCTTTCTATCGTACCTTATTTTTCTAGATTCACAAGGTTTTCTTAATTTTTTCACACCAGCAATCGCTACGGCATTAGTAGGTTCTAATATCAAAGCAGCTTCACAATCTGCCAATGCCTAATTATATGTGTATAATTATATATATAATATAATTAATAAAAAATATATAATTATATAATATAATATATATTATTATTATATATACATCATTTTTTTTTCAAATTCATGCAATCAAAGAAAAAAGTGAATAAAAAAAATTTTTATTTGAATACCTGAGACGATTCTCCAAGATGATCTAAACATAAAGCTCGACGAAGAAGAGCTTTAATATTCATACATTCTACATTGAGTACTATGTTACAGTCTTTAAGAGCATCTTGATAACGTTGAAGTTTAATATCTGAAAAAATATAATTTAATCTATAGATTTTTTTTAATAACATAAATAAAACTAATTTTATTTACACGTCATTGCTCGATTATTATGTGTAATTATATTCGAATTCATTTTTATGCTAATATTATAATGTTCCAAAGCTTCCTCGTAATCTCCAGCTTTATAAGCTTCGTTTCCTTTTTCTCTTTCTTGATCTGCCATCACGTCTAATTCTGTTCCTGTTAATGCCGCTAATAAAAAAATTATTTTCTGTATATATTTTATATATATATATTTTTATATATATTTTTATTTATAAAATTTTTTTATATATTTTTGTAAATAATTAAAAATTTATTCAAATAATTATTATAATTTTTTTTATTTTTTATTTTATTCTATTTTAAATTTAAAGATTGTAACATACATGTATTGATAATCGTATGTTTTTCCAGCTTCTTTTTTTCTATAATTTCTTTTTGTTTCTGTTGTAATTTCTTTGCTTCAAGTTTTTGCTGATCTTCTCGTATATCTATTTTATTTAGTTCAACATCAACGTCATATTTATCCCAAGCAGAATAATCACAAGAAGCAATTCGTTTATTTTTAGTATTTTTTAAGTTTGTCGCAAAATTTTTCTAATTAAATTAAACAAATAAAACATAAATATTTTTAAATAACTATATATCATATTTAATATGAATAATTAAATAATATATGTAACAAAATTTAGATAATAATTAAATACTTTTAGAGATTCTTCTTTAAATTCCCGAATGTCTGGCGAAGGTAAAGGATTTAATAAAGTTGTTTTCCCTTCTTCTAAATCTTTTTCTCGAATCTGCATTTCAGACATCCAATCATTAATATCTTTATCAATTTCTTTACATTCATTTGGTTCTAACATATCACGTTTAAGAATGGGTTCGGATTTTCTTAAAATTATACTCGTTGGCTTAATAACATTTAAACATTTTTCTGCATGTTTTGTTAAATCTGGATAAAATCCTTCTTCACCAGAACTGTGAACAAAACGTATCAAAGTATAAAAATTAAAAATATTATATTATTAAAATATATAAAGAATATTAAAAAAATATTCAAAATAAATATATATTCAAAAATTTATTAGAATTTAATTTTTAAAAATCCCAATTTTTACTTACCGCAATATAGTTACTATACGCTCCAATTTTTTTGCATTTGTACATTCAGAAATATATTCATATGAAAGATGCTCAACCGGTATATCATATCTTTCGAGCAATGACTTTTGTCCACATTTTGTATTATGAATAATATTTGTATCTGTTTCGATCATGATATCAAATAAAATATCTATTCTTTGGAAATAATATTTTTCTGTTACAACAAAAAAGAGAATATGTTTCTGTTACAATCTTCTGTTTAATTAGTTGCTATGGATACACGCATACCAAATTATCAGCTTTATCCACAATATGCTTGTATCAAACTCAATCGATAACATAGGGAGTATTCTTTATGATGCATTTCCAACGAAAGATCAATAACAAATGCATATGTATTCGATTATATTTTCGAGATCTAATTTAGTTTAAAATCTATATAACTGATTTAAAAATTATTCTATATTATTTAATATTAGAATGTTTATTCATATAAATATATTCATTTAAACCAGACAATATATAAAAAAATTTGATAGTTAACTATATAGATTATAAAGAGATATTTTCAATTAATGATAAATTTAATATAAATTTATATAAATATTTATATTTTTATATAGAAATATTAATATTATTAATTATTATTTAATTATTATTAATATATATTATTAATTATAAGTAAATATATAAATATAGAAAATATATATTATACATACACACATATATATATATATATATATATATATATATATATATA